CAGAAGTAGGCTGTGCCACAGCTCTTCTCTTGCCACACAACAGTGTCAAATTGCACACATACTTGTATTTTTGTATTTTTTTTGAAGCAGTACCAGAACAGCAATCATTGTGTGCCTTCATCGCATACAGAATAACTCAAATTGGAAGAGGAAAGCCCTAGAAAAGAAGTAGGAGCTGGCTACTGCCACTGCCTTGCCCACTGCCTGATGAGGAGAGCAGCTGCCCAGGACGGGCTCTGTGAATGACAGTCTGGAGGAGTCCATGCAGCCTACAGAAGGAATCAGACAAATTGACATGTCTGGCTCCTGCTCTGCTGTGGCAAGTGCTTCTTTGGCCTTAGAGTAAGGGATCATAACAGTGCTTAGCATGAGTGAAATAAACTCATGTCTTCCCTCTCTGTAGATGGCTTAGCTTTTCTTTTCCTACAGAGACAGTTTGCTCAAAGAGGAAGCACTTTACATCTGCAGCAGCAGTTCCACACTATTCATGTGTGGCTCCACTCCCTTTAGTTGCAAACCTCTGCCTATCAACATCAGTGATACCTAAAGGCAACAAAAATTGAAAATTAACTGGACCAAGAGAAATTCTCTAGGAGGCTCACAGAGCTCAGCTTTTGTACAGACAGGACCACACAATTTTTCCCTGGCATGAAGTAATATTTTTGTGAAGTTAGAGTTATGTAACCAGGAAAATACTCAAGCACTCAAGAAATTTTCATTTGCCCAATTCCAGGCTTTCTGGGAGTGACCTACGATGCCACACTTTTAAACACAAAGCTTATTCTTTATATCCTCTAGTCCTATATAGATCTGCTCTGAAAAACATTTTCTCACATATTGCAAATTACTGTGAATTCAAAACCAATCCACTGAAAGAAGCAGAGATCCAGCAATACAGAACTCAGAAGAGCCCATGGCTAAGGAGTTATATTAAACAAAACAAAAAAAAAAAAAAAAAAAAAAAAGCAGGGAAAAAAATGTTCTAGCCCCCACCTTACTTAAGAAAATTAAGCATGATGCTTGCTTTTCCCCCCCTCCAACTTATGAGTCAAGACTTGCTCCTTCAAGCAGCAAAAATACCTTGTGAATCAAACTGCCTTAAGTAAAGAACTATCAAACAGCAACCCTAACAGTACAGTTTAAATTTTACTTGTTTCCTTTCATGTTGTGTGTACTCATTTTCACCTACCCAGCCTAAATCACCTCTGAAGGTGGTGAATATTGACTTTTGCTCTACAAGAAACATGTTTCTAGACACAGCCTTCTTGCTCAGACTGTGCTTCTAGACAGTGCTATGTAATTAATAACGAAGTTTCTACGAGTTTGTTTTTATTTTTTTTACCTGAAAGGTTTGCTCACTGCACGAGCAAAACACTATTCAACTATAAAATTACCGATATTTTTTATTTTATTTTATTTTTTTAAAAAAAAAAAAAAGCAATCAAAAGCTGTGCCGCAAAGATGCAACTGCAGCAAACATACAGAGCTTTTAGTCCACCAGGAAGCACACTACAATTATTTAGCTGATATCCCAAGACCATCACTCAATTACAACACTTGGCAGAGGTTTATCAGACTTCAGGTTTTGAAGGCTCAAGCATGAAAGATACTGAGTAAAGGGAAACATCATCCATAGAACAAGAGGGAAGCGAGACAGGGAAAGTTCCACCATACACAAGCCTCTACTACTGAAGAGTATCACAACCACTCCAGAGACCAGCACCTACTACCAGATTTCAGCTTAACAACCCCCTCTTCTATTGCTACCTATCAAGCAGCTGATGCCAAACAAAGGAAAAAAAAACAAAACAAAACAAATAAAGGTTCTCTAGCAAAATCGTGAATAACCCTTTCAACTGAAGATGCCTATGGCTTAAAGACAGAATGGACAAACTGTTTACATGCAGTTCTGCAGATTACAGTGCAATCTGGCTGTCTACTGTGAAGCCAGAGAAACAGTCACAGTATTGTAAACTGGGAATGAACTCTGTGGAAATCCTGGCCTTAAATACATGAGGTCTACCCAGCTTTTGCTTAAGCAAACCCAGTAAACCAGATATTAAAAGAAAATGAAGTTAACATGCAGCAGTCAAGCACCCACAGCCAACTGCAACCTGTTGAGGCAGAACACAAGGAAAAAACTTTGCTCAAACCCAAGGACAGGTCCTTGCTGACAGCAACTGAGGGCTGTCAGATGTTTGCTCCCACCACAGGACCTCTCTGGAGGAGGATTTAGCATCACTGACCATGAGCTAGTTTTGCCTTGGCATCAAGGAACAGAGGGTAGCCAGTGGAGGAGACAATCAAACAGCTTCCTTGACAATGGCAGTGTTGAATTCAAGCAAAGGGTTGCTCAAAACATTCCCAGTCATACTGAATGGCTATGTATTAAGTTCAACAAGTAAGCAAGAGATTAACAGGACAGAGAAAAGCCACACCAACACCCCAGGGGTCATGGCACAGCCCCACTTCAGCTAGTTCTGCAACGGGGACATGTGGTTCAGGACTGCTCTGTTCCACACCACGCTCTGCTCAAATGGTCACTTGGGAATACTGCCCGTCCCAGCCAGCCGACAGGTCCTGCAGCAGAGCTAGGCACAACACAGCCATCAGTGATATAAGCTCATGCAACCAGATGCTAAAGTTTTAATTCTATTATGGCCCGTACTAAAGTACTGATAACCAATACAAACCACCTATAAAAATTAGCAAGACGTGTTTTCTGCTCAAATTTATCAAATGGTACAATTCCTGGATTAGCAACTGAAATTAGAGTCTGCTGAAACGTTACACCAGCTTTGAACAGCAGTAATGCCTCTCAAAGAGGTGCAGAGAGCGCACTTTCCTCATTTCAGTTAATTCAGCTAGCTCAACAATCCACAGAGAAAGGTCATATTTCTCCAAGGATAAACAAGGTACCAATGCAGCTGACAGCTTCATGAATCTGAATAAAGCGTTTGTATTCCCTATCGACTGTCACTCACACTTCTTGTATTAAAGTCACTTTAACTGCACAAAATCCTCAAAATTTTTTACACTTCAGTTTAACCAGAAGATTCTGTGCTTTCCTTCGAACCACACCTCAAGCAAATGGAAGAAAGTTCCCAAACTCTCACTGCCATAAAGTTCTACACAGCTACAGGATGGAACTTTTTATTATTTCTAATTCTACTTAGTTAATATTGGGAAACCTGAAATACAAAACAGTAAAGAAAGATATTCAAGAAAACAAGTGAAGAAATCTTGAAAAAAAAAAAAAAAAAAACACATCAGAAACATTTTGAACTAGCTTTCACCTCAAATATAAGTGTACATCATGAAATTAACTCCACCAAATAAAGATAAAGTTGATATCCTAAACTTCAGGATGTCCAGTAAGCCAAGACAAACCTATTTAAAGCTAAGTTGGGCCTTAGTGGCCCAACACAAAGACAAAGCAAAGAACTTCACAAATGGGACAATAGAAACCTTCACTCTCCTGACAGAATTAAGGTCTGAGACTGATCTTTACAGAAATTGAGAATTTAAGACGAATTACCAGAGATCACACACTACCAAAAGAAAACCAAGTAGAGAAAAACAGATTAACTCCATAAAACAGCCTTTAACATAGTGCTTGAAAGTAGTTGCTGAGCTGCAGAGAGGACAGAAGCATCAAGCAATCTCCCATTCTCGAAATTAGTATCACAGGATCAGTATTTATAGAGAAGAATTAAGACAAAAGGCACTACAGCTCAATGACAACAAACATCAGAAAGCCACTGCAGTCACAGTGCTGAGATAAGGTAACACTGACAGTCTCTGCCAAAGCCTTGATGAAGGCACATCCTCAGGTTATTGCACCGGCTGCTTCAGCTTACTTTCCAAGAATGATTACGGACATAAGGCTCGGGCAGCTCCTAAACCAAACAAATATTTTGACCCCTTGTGATTTCTCTGAAAAATTGATGAGTAATGTAAGTGCAGGAAGAGGTCACCAGTCCATTCTGATGCACAAATGACCCAGTTATTGACCCAGGACTGCAGCGACTTCCTGAAGGAGGAATAATAGAGGTGAGTCTAAGAATACACATATCACACCTACATGAGTAAGTCAGCCAACTCATCACAAAAGGAAAGCCTGGTGCCAAAACGTTCCCTTCCTTCCAAACAAGGAGGCCAAACTAAACATGACTCAAATCTAATATTCCCCAAGCTACAGGTTACTTCGTTTTTATGAAGTAGAGTGCTTAAACCTCGATCCAGAAAGGCCAAGAGGCACTGACGATGCATGCTTGCTAAGCAAAGGCATCATCCAGGCTTTCTTCCAGCATAAGGGTGGGAAGACCCAGTAACTAAACCGATAAGACCTAGGAGATCAGAGCTGAGAGTGACATGATTTTGTCAGAAATCAAGTGGGCACATCGTGCACAGGGGTATGCCCAGTGCTCATCTTCCGTGAGCATCAAAGCTTTTGTTTCTTTTCAACAAACCACACAATTCTTCTTCAGGTCTTCTCCCTTCAGTTCTGTTTGGGTAAGGAAGTGCCAGATTTG